CCCCAAAACCCCAAAACCCCAAAACCCCTGTTTGATTGGAGCTACTTGAGTATTTGAAATATTAATATATTATTTAAAAATGGAAGAACAGACTGTCATAAAAGAAGGATTAATCCGTAAATACATAAATATCGTTAAAGGTTATAAGAAGAGATACTTCGTCTTGTATAGTGATATGTTGGTATACTACCGCTCTATGGAGAAAACTGACGAAGATCCAAAGAAGATTCACCTTAAATGAGCTAGTATAATTCCTAATAAAAACGAAGCTATTACGATTGATACTGGCACTCATACCTTTAAGCTCAAATTTGAGAATATTTCTGATAAAATAGCATGGCTTAATGCTCTAAAGGCTACTCAAAAGCATTATGAGGATATTGACCCGACACCTAGAGGAAGTTTCCCTAAAGAATCGAAGAACAGTGACACCAGTGTTCCCGATTTCTCACAGAATGATTTGATGCGATCAAATACATTCGACCGTTCTGATTCTCAACAAATGCCCGCACACTCAGTTGAGAAGAGAGTTGTAGCTGAGAGTATCAGATCTGTGTTAAAATCCAAGAGCGATGTGGTTAAAATATCCGAATCAAAAATGCTACGAAAATCAGTGTTGAACTATCATAAAGGATTAGGCAACCTCGAAATGTGTGAAAAGTTGGATAAAACCCTGATCAAAAATATGCATGATGTCTATCAGTCCTTTGCGACTATGGATCAAAACTTGTACCACATCAAGACCAGAGCTGAGGAGGAGAAAGACCAGAAATTGAAGACGCACTCAGATAATATTGAAAAAGAGCAGCAAAATATTAAGAATATTATGACTGCTAGTTTTCAGAAAATGAAAGATTTCTTAGAGGCTTTCAAAACTGTTCAGGAGTCATCTAGTTCTAAGGAAGACTGTAATACATTTCAAAATTCTGAGGTGAAGGAAGAAAACCAAGTGTCTGATGAGGGAAGAGGCAGCCATATTAACCCAGATGCTGATCAGAGTGAGCAGGTTGACCAAGCTGATCAAAAGGTAGCCGACGATGATGATAGCGATAATGACACCATTTTTTATGATGCTTATGATGCAATGATACTTAGTGAACTTGAGCAAGAAGTTGAGAGAGGTCCAAAGATTGATCAAACTGAGGAAGAGAAAGTTGAAGAGGAGAGACTGACATTACCTGCACTTAAAAGTGAGGGTAAATTTAGTCTGCTAAAAGTTCTTAAAGATGCTGTAGGAAGAGATCTTACCAAATTTTGAGTTCCTGTTTATTTCAATGAGCCATTATCAATGCTACAAAAGACTGCTGAGCTGATGTGCCATGACCATTTAATGAAAAAGGCATATGAGACACAAGACCCTATGTTAAGATTAAGTTATGTTTCAGCAATTGTCATCTCTCATTATTCATTAACTACCAATAGGGTTACAAAGCCGTTCAATCCGATTTTGGGAGAAACTTTTGAAATGATGGGTAATGGATGGAGATTATTAGCTGAGCAGGTTAGCCATCATCCTCCTGTTAGTGCATTAGTAGTACAAGCTGAAAAATATGAGATTAGGATGAATACTTCAATGTCACAACAATTTTGGGGGAAGTCAATGGAATTCAAACCTCAGGGGAGGATGCATTTCATTTTCCACGACACTGGTGATCATTTTATTGTTCAGAGGCCAAACACTTCGGTGAGGAATATTATTTTTGGAACCATGTATATTGACCATCATGGAAAAATGTTGGTGACAAATGTCAAAACTAATGATTATGCTGAATTTGAGTTTCATAAATCAGGCAAAAGTCTCTTTGGCAAAGGAAAGAAAACAGGAACTGTTGACGGTAAGGGATTTGATTCCAATGGAATCTGTCACTATCTCTATAAAGGCCTTTGGAATGAAAACTTTTCATTTTGACCATTCAATCCCGATGTAAAGGATTTCGATCATGAAAATTCGGCTCTTCTCTGGGAAATTGAGCCAAAGAGAGAAGACTGGGAGAGAATATATTATTTCTCGAAATTTGCATTACAATTGAATAATTTAACACCAGAGTTGAAGAAGAAAATAGCTCCTACAGATTGCAGGTTCAGACCAGACCAGAGAGCATTAGAGAATGGTGATTTAACCGTAGCAAACTCTGAGAAACACCGCTTAGAGGAAAAGCAAAGAGATAGTCGCAAAAAGAGGACCGAGGAAGGAATCGAGTGGGTCCCCAACTATTTCGAAAAATACCATGACGAGTACACAGATCTTGACGAATACAGGTACTGAAATGACTATTGGAAGGATAGAGAAGAGTCCAACTGGAGTCATCTCCCAGATCTTTACAGTGAGGAGTAGATCACTTCTTAGTCGTAAAATAGACAATATTTTATTTATCCTGGGGTTTTGGGGTTTTGGGGTTTTGGGGTTTTGGGGTTTTGGGG